CAGCCTTTGTCTTGGCTCTGTGTCCACTCTCGTCTTCTGTGTTTTATCATCACAAGCTTCCGTATCTCTCCTTTAGTTCGTTTTCCATTTGAGCCGAGTTCTACCAATTGGGTCTTGTAGCTCTTCGGCTGCCAGTCCGTTATTGATGATGTCCATCGTTAATCCATCAGACTTGCAATCTAGTCTTGCTCGAGGTCAGCGCAAAGAAATGGGATTATTCTTCGATGTTTTTTCGTTTATTCGATCTTGACTAATGGTTTTCCCTACTGTCATTCTTACCAGGCGTATTAGAAAGAAGAGGTAAGAAAAATTTGTCACTGTCAAAACGTCGGTATTCTTTATGTTTTCGTGATAGGGTCAGTATTGATGCCATATTTTATGAAATTTTTTATGAAGTTAATAGTGGGACGCTAATCTCCATTTTCATGCCGTCAACCCATAGCGCCTTTTTTGGAGTCAGATACTCGACGGCAGCTAGGTCGACAACAGTGTATAGTCTCATGTTTCCTTCCCACATTGTGCTCATTTAGCAATCTCGGAAAGAAGAAACACGTGTGACCTTGCCAGATCTCTAACTCGGGTTTTCTCGGTTCAGAGTCTGACGCTCTACCGATGGAGCAATTCTTGTTATCGTCAGCAGTTTTGGACAGAACACACGCTTTTCATTCACCCCTTCTGAATGGCGTTTCGGGAGACGGTTCCGCGAGACTTGGCCAACTATGAGTTTTCCTTTGTGAGCTCGGCTGTTCCTCCTTATCGTCAATGTTGCACAGAATTTAATAACGTTATTTACTACATTAAATATGATCATGGTGATTATATTTACATTGGAAACACATTTGGGATTCTATGAATATGGTAATATAAATAGCGAACGCAGGATGGCCATTATGGACTACTATCTGCAGCATTAGTTTTGTTTTTCAGGAATCGAAAGGCAGCACTGTTACTGAATAATTCAAATATCGTTTTAGCAAAGATTCTGTTTGAGATTGACTAATCAGGTAGTCGCTACGCATCTGTATGAAAAAAAATCAGCGTGCGCATCGAAGGTCGGCTCTTTTAATACCTCAGGGACATGACGTTTTAGTTAATTATAATTAATTGATGTCTCTTGTGATTTTGGTGTTAAGTTCATTATTTGGCTTAAAGTTGATAACACATGTTGCTTTGCCAATAGTGGCATTGAAACAAATTTAAGATCTAAGCATTTGTGTTGTTTGTGGCTGTAACCTTCCAATCTTGAATAATGCAACTCATTTGGAAGAAGGACACCTATTTTAGTTTCAGCTTTTGATATTTACAAGGGCGGCTGATTTTGACATCGCTGAATGCATCTTGTTATTTAGACTGCCATGGGGTTTTTCTGCGTCCTGAAGAGCATAATGTCCATCAGGTGGCCTGTGTTTTGAGGAAGTTTTTTTCCATGCTCAGCGAACCTGTGGTGCCTTCTTCGATTTGCGACAAACTTCTTGAAGCTTCATGTAAGTCTCACAGGCTACTTACTTAATGGTCATATGCACTGTTGTGCTGATTTGTTTTCGTTATATTTTCTCACTTTATATTCTTAATATTTATTTTTATGTTTATTGACGAAAGGTTGAATGGGACATCGTGGACAGTTCAGCGATGCTCCTGTTTTCTCATTCACTCCATTCACTGTACATGGGCTATACGGCTGTATCACGAATGTATGCGTTTAAACCCAGATATTACTCAGATTTATACCATTTTCCCTGGTCAAGCATCTGTCGGTCTGGCTTAACAGAGTGTTGTTTCTCGACCTGTCATTG